AAAAAAAAAAAAGCTCGATAGTGCTACTCGGGAAATTTATAAATTTAAATGATATAGTGACAAACCCAAGAAATTCGAAAAGTATGCAATAATATCATCATAGCATCTCTTCAAGATGCACCAGCCAAGAATCGAACTCGGGTCTGTACCGTGGCAGGGTACTATTCTACCACTAGACCACTGGTGCAACCAACTTTAGGTCTGCCCATAATTTACTTGAAATTTCGTACTGCAGTTCTTCTGAAGCCCTCAACTTTTAGTTTCACCTCTCGATTTAAAAATGAAAGCTCCATAGGTCTACTCGCGAAATCTATAAATGTAAATGATAGATTGTAACAAACCGAANGATATAAAAAAAAAAAAGCTCGATAGTGCTACTCGGGAAATTTATAAATTTAAATGATATAGTGACAAACCCAAGAAATTCGAAAAGTATGCAATAATATCATCATAGCATCTCTTCAAGATGCACCAGCCGAGAATCGAACTCGGGTCTGTACCGTGGCAGGGTACTATTCTACCACTAGTTCACTGGTGCATCCAACGTTAGGTCTGTCCATAATTTACTCGTAATTTGGTACTGCAGTTCTTCTGAAGCCCTCAACTTTTAGTTTCACCTCTCGATTTAAAAATAAAAGCTCCATAGGACTACTCGCGAAATCTATAAATGTAAATGATAGATTGTAACAACCCGAAGTTTGAACATTTTGCACTAATATCATCATAGGTAATCTTCAAGATGCACCAGTCGAGAATCGAACTGAGACTGTATCGTGGAACGGTACTATTCTACCACTAGACCAATAGTGCATGTACCTTTGGGCCAATAAAAAACATACTCGTATTTTGGAACTGTAGTTCTTCTGAAGCCCTCAAGTTTTAGTTTCACCTCTCGATTTCAAAAAGAAGGCTCCATAGTGCTACGCGTGAAATCTATAAATGTAAATGATAGATTGTAACAAACCGAATTTTGAACATTTTGCACTAATATCATCATAGGTAATCTTCAAGATGCACTAGTCGAGAATCGAACTGGGACTGTATCGTGGTATGATACTATTCTACCACTTGACCACTAGCGCATGTACCTTTGGNCCAATAAAAAACGTACTCGTATTTTGGTCCTACAGCTCTTCTGAAGCCCTCAACTTTTAGTTTCAACTCTCGATATAAAAAAAAAAAAGCTCGATAGTGCTACTCGGGAAATTTATAAATTTAAATGATATAGTGACAAACCCAAGAAATTCGAAAAGTATGCAATAATATCATCATAGCATCTCTTCAAGATGCACCAGCCGAGAATCGAACTCGGGTCTGTACCGTGGCAGGGTACTATTCTACCACTAGACCACTGGTGCATCCATCTTTAGGTTTGTCCATAATTTACTCGTAATTTGGTACTGCAGTTCTTCTGAAGCCCTCAACTTTTAGTTTCACCTCTCGATTGAAAAATAAAAGCTCCATAGGTC